TTATTAACGTACTATAACGTGTTTACGACATATGTTACATGTAACATAAATATTAGGCAATGTTTTTTTGACAATCAAAGACCGTAAAACGGCTTGTGGCTGAAGTCGGAAGCGCCGCCCGTGGCGAATGGGTCCTCCAATTGGCCATAAGCCGGGACGCCATTAAAACGAATGCGCAGCTAACAGCACAGTATTAATCTGATGGCGCTCATAAACTCGCCACTTGATTGATAAACCTGTGTCCGCGCGGGCGTCGCATATCTGACCCGTGCGATGCTCCCTCCGTAATTGGGATGTCCACGATTACTGCGCCAGAAACTGGATTATTTATAATTTTTTATTTATAGGTTTCTTAAACGCTGATCATCGTAGATGTCAACTAATCAGCTGTTAAATGCCTTTTCAAATTTCATTTTAGTTGCCAAAAGACTGGTTGAACTCTATGAATTGACCAGGATGATCTTCTTAATGATCAGAATGATCAATTCAAAGAGTTTAACAATCCTTTAACTCAAAAACCATTTGAAAATCCATTTGACAGCTGGTTAGTTGACTTCTACAATGATCATTGTTTCAGGGCGTTAGTCTATTTTTTGAGCAAGAGGACTAATTTTTTTATTATATTTAAATATTATTATGTACTACTCTAGCTGAACCCATCCTTGCTCCTCTTTTTTCGTATCCGTTGGATCTTTGGAATAAAAACTGTATAAAAAGAGTCTCATGTTCAATATAACAAGTCAATCCATCGCCTAGTTTTTATCTACAAAAACTCATAAAAAAAACAAGCCAAAACAAAAACTGTATCCAGATATGAGTAAACTTTTTTTTTATATATAAAAAGTTAATACCTAGTTTGCAATAATATAATAGATGACTCCGTGGCACAGTTGCCAAGGTATTGGCTTTGGCGTCGGGGGTCGTGGGTTCGATTCCCACACGGGACAACTATTTGTGTGACCCACAGGTAGTTGTTTCGCATCTGGGTGTTTGTCCGCGTGAAATTTATGTTTGTAAAACGTCCCTACAACACAGGATAATGTTATCCTAAAGTAAGGGCAATGTTTTTAAAAGAAAATAAAAAAAAATATAGAGAAATGTTCATTTAACTACTTAGTATCGTTTTCGATTATGTAGTCATTATTAGTCGCACTGTGTAGTTGTCTGATTCAGTTTAACAAAATATTTTTTTCCTGTAAAACAAAAGCGAAAAGGTGATTGAAAGTAATATAATACAACTGTTCATTTTATAACTGTCGAGGCCAAAAGTTAATCAAGTAATTTTTATTTCATGTGTAAAATGATCCGAAGCTATTGACTGAAAACTAAAAGAAATACCTCCATTATCATTATACTAGCGACTCGCCCCGGCTTCACACGGGTACAATGTATTATACAGATACACCTTCCTCTTGAATCACTCAATCTAGTAAAAATCCACATCAAGATCCGTTGCGTAGTTTTAAAGATCTAAGCATACTTCGGGACAGACAGACAGCGGGACGACTTTGTTTAATATTGTGTCATTATATATCTATGAATGGAATTTAAGATGGTGTGATGATATTTGTCCAATTAGTTGACCTAATTCAAGTGATTCCTTCCAACCATGAAAACGAAGGACCAGCAAAGAAGTGGTAGTACCTAAAGGCGTTTTATGAAAACAATACAATCAAATGGTATTCTCCAAAAGTCCCGATGAATGTGGAAGCGTGGTGAACTCAGTCGGCTGCTACTGAAACCTCCCAAAATCGCTGGTGCTCAGCGTCTGCTGCTCGCGTTAAGAAGTGGTGCACTTACGTTCGGCAATATCAGTGCGTTGGCGATAATTCCGCGGACGGAACCTGTTGGCGGATGATTGTCAGCTGATATTAAGGTGGCGATCAACGGGAGACGGGGAACATTTAAATACGATCTCCTTTGTGGTTGCGCGTTAGCTTTTTAAAATAAACTTTTATTATTGTGCCCAGTAAGCTGCCACTGTTAAGTAGTTTTCGATCGCTGACCGTTATTACTTATTCTCAATATATGCTGTAGTGTTTTATATTAGAAGGTGGCAAACTAGCATGCGGTCTATCTAATATCAAGTGATTATCGGCAACTATGGATGTCTTAATACCGGTAAGGCTGCAGATGTGTTGCGAAACTTAGTGGCATAATTGCTTGAAATCTTACGACTAGTTTGTAAAGACCAAAATCTGGTCACAATTTTGGTCTTTTAAATTGAACTTTGCAATTAATGTGTAGTTAATTGCAACTAGTAATTGAGTATGATTGAAAAACAAATGTAACGTATTTTTCTCAATTGTTATAAAGATTTTCCATTCCACGGTTTATTTATTTATATATATTCAATTAGAAGAGAAAATAGAATAAATTTCAAAGATTACAATGTTTATAAACACAAACAAATACGCATTGTCTAGCTAACCTAGCCCGACGCTCAATTAGCCAAGAAAGATAGTTGCATTATCTCACTGAATAGTTACACTTAAACTTCGTGAGAGAAAAGAACTTGTAGACTTGCTTCGACATGCTTCGACAATAATAATAATTATCTACATTATATAACCCCTTGTAGGGAAAATTTTGAAGTCACATGCTGCATTTTATATCAATTTTATTATGACATAACATCTGAAAAAAAAAAAAGCTTTAGTAAAGGCTGCCTTTTACCGATTTTCAATGGACGGACATATATTTGAGAATGTATTTTAGTTTTTGACAATCAGAAACATGTTGCTAAAACTGTATAAGAAAATATGACCATGATTTTGGATCTAAAGTGGTCTGTAATATTGCCTATCCAATTAGGACAAGAACAGCCTCTAATATACAGCTTGAATATAGTGTTAAAATAAATGGTCGTATTTTTAACTGAAATAACTGTATATAGCGAAAGATTCATAGAAACTTTGCCCGTGTATCACCATGTCCGCTTAATTATTGAAGTGGTAGTGGTAGGTGGTGGGGAGTGGGGAGATTAATGAGCGGCTACTGCGGGCTTATCGCTGCAGCATCTGGCGCATGACTGATCATCTGTCGTGCGCCTGCGCCTGCTCGCCGGTAGTGATGCGAACGACGATGGCAGCCGTGCCGTTGTCGATAAAAAATCGACCCATAAATTTGTCTTTCGATTTATCGTCATCAACATCATCACAGCATGTTAGAGTCCACTGGTAACATAGACTTCCAAAACAGACAGTCATGAAACACGATCCCAAGCCACTTCTGCCATCTCTTTACTTCCCGCATGTTTGCATAGTTCGTCGCTGCATCTAGTGGAGGGTCGTCTTGCACTAAGTTTGACATATATGCTAGCAATAACTGTAATATTTAGGCTAAAGGCATTTGTAATTCGCAATCCTTGATTCAATGTAGTAAGTGCCCAAAAGAAGTCTAGGTAAGACCCACGCACCTTTCTTTTCGTGCGTCCTAAAATGTCATTTCTAGTATTTGTGGCACAAAATTTATGTCAATTTTCGAAAATTATTTTTTGTATTACGAAAAGATGTCTAGTACAGCTAAGTGAAAAAAACCGGCCAAGTGTGAGTCGGACTCGCGCACGAAGGGTCCGGACCAGTGTCTATTAAAACGGCAAAAAATTATGTCTGTTGTATGGAAGCCCCACTTAATATTTTTTTAATTCTGTTTTTAGTACTTATTGTTATAGCGGTAACAGAAATACATAATCTGTGAAAATTTCAACTGTCTAACTATCACGATTCATGAGACAGACGGACAGGACTGAAAGCAAATGGGTTCCGTTTTACTCTTTGGGTACGGAACCCTAAAAATGTAGTCTTACAGTAGCGGGGACATCGATAGTCAAATTCCACGCATAACAAGGCACAACACTAGCGGTCGTGATATGACAGTGGAAGGTACAGCTTCCCAGAAGTCATACTCATCGAATACCTTACGAGCGGCGTGCACCATTTGACCGGGCTTTTTTCCCCGCTCCATAGTTTTATTGGGCGCATTGAAATATTTTTGTTTAGATTCAAACGACGTTTAGCCAGTAGGCCGCTACATTAGGATTAATGTCTAACATCATTTACCCGTTTGTCTCGAAACATCGTCGGATAATCCCCGGAGCTGTCTTTGAATCGAATTCTTCAATTGATATCTGATACTTTGGAAGCGGGACGGTGTATTAGGACGCTGTTTTGTGTATCGAGTTTATGGTCAATTTTTTAACTGACGACAGCCATCTAGATATCATAACCTCGGGCGTGCTTCAAGACAGTGTGTGATTGATTCGTATCATAATCTCGAGCGTGCTTGAAAACAGTGCATGATTAATTCTGAAGTTCATCACTGATGAAATTAAACAGGGAATATTTCGCACATAATACTCGATTTAAGTACTGCCGTCAATCTATTTTAATTACGGTTCGTTTACAAATTTTATTTTAGTAACTTTTGTCAACGGCCTTAAAAATCAAGAATACAAAATGTTTCTGTAGCGTATTTTAACAGAAAAGATAGTTACAAGTTCATAAATGTTTATCGCATGTCAAGAAATATTTATGAGAAGCAATTATTTTAGTTATTTATCTAGGTTTGAATATAAATAAAACTACGATGTCAGTAGTAGATAATTACTTAATGGAAATAAATGGCTACATGAAACATAGCAGCTCGAAAGCTTATAACCATACAATCGCCATGTTTTTTTTTATTTAATTGTTAGCAATCGTTTTGGAAAATTGTTTTAATTAAAAAGGATATAGTTATTTTTCTATGAGGGGCAAACTAAGCGTCTCCTTCGAGTCGGTACAGTTGTTCTAGGTACCTGGCGATCGCGTTTGTTACCGTTAAGCAACCCGCGGCCAGACAATGCCTCTTAGAACGGAGCCGCGCTCTCGCGATATTGGAATCGTCCATCACGCCAGTCATTACGGTACATTATCGGAATGCCGTACGGGGCATTTCGGCATCCGGACGGGGATCGATTGATGCATCTCGCGTTTGATGGACGACGCGGAGGGACGCTACCGTGCGCGATGGATCCCTGCGCTGACTTGTCTCGTGGAGACTGGTTCATAGGGCTGCCAGCTCGCCAGTAGTTCACTTGACAGTGAGTAAGAACTCGTGGACATTCGAGACAGTAGAGTCGTTTCAGGCGTGTTGCCATCACCGATAGCGCAGGCTTCCTTCTTTTCTTCTTCCTTTGCAAAATCATCATCATTATTTCACCCTATTTGAGTCCAACATTGAATATAGGCCTCCCGCACATACTGCCACGAAGCATGATCCTGAGCCACCTGCATCCAACAACTTTCCGCACATTTGCACAGGTCGTCACACCATCTAGGGGAGGGTCGTCCTACACAGCAATGGCCAGTACGGGGCTGCCACTCAAGAACCTTTCTCCCCATATCGGCTATCGTTTCTACGAGCTATATGGCCGACCCATTGCCACTTCAGCTTGGTAATCTCCTGAGCTATGTGGGCTGCTTTTGTTTTTCTTTCCTCATGCCGTTATTTTATGAGATCTTTTCTCCGGAAAAACTAGTCAAAGCGGCAGCAGTTTTTATGTAAGCCGTTGTTGTATAACCACGGTAATATATTCATGCAAGAACTACATGGATGGGAAATTGAACGAGTAAAATTGTCGTCACTCACATACTCTAGCCGTCAAATCGAGCTTTATAGTAGTTACTGCTTGTAAAAGATTTGTAAACACTGGAGAAAAATGTTAATACACTTTAGTGAAACTTAGGATTTTAAATTTTATAGGAGATCGTGGCAAAAGAAATGGTCGTTAACATGTAGGTAAGATTATCATCTTCCACGGATATCCACAAAACTCATAGGATAGTTTTCAATTTTGAAGATGGGACTGGGTCATCAGACGAAAACGTAAAAGCATAATTATTTTTTTAAAACACAATTTTTTTTTTTTTTTTCCGTCAGTTAGTTATCTGTCGGGTTGTGTCACTTTTAGGGCTAATAGTCAGGTCAAATTAGCCCTAAAAATAGCAGTGAAGCAACAGAACTTCGCATAGTGCTAAAAATTGGTATACTAGTTCGGAACACATTATAAATGAATGCTGAATATAAAGAAGAGAAGAAACTATGCCATGCTTAGAAAATATTATATTCAAGGTCATAAGTCTCGATAATGGGTTTTTCGCGTTTTTTCAAAACAGCAAGCAACGTAATAATATCAATTATTTTTCTCTTCATTTAACGACAACTCTCTATGACGTCAAAAAATGCACAATCCAATAGTTACATTGTTTTAAACCGTAAAAGGCACTACCATTAAAATGGATATATGACGATTTTTTTCACATTCCATATAGTTTTTTTGTAGGCACCACTTGCTACTTGTTACTTACATTCCTAATCAGATACGTAAACACGATACGTCCCGTTTGATGGATGTCATTGACTTTCAATGCGGCATCCGATGCTACCGGGTACTGCTTAATTATAATTAATCATTTCGGTTTATATCGGACTCTAATTAACGGATTGATAATATATGCATTTTTTGCACCTTGCCATTAGTTTTGTAATTTATTTCATTTTATTTTATTTGGTACACAAAACAGCAAACAGTAACATACACTTTACAAAAAAGTTAAATGAGGTAAACGATAACATATTGTCAGCCAATTATGCGTACCAACACAACACTAAGGTGTCATCGAATTATTTTTAACTAGCTGTTATACGCGGCTTCACCCGCGCGGCCAAAGGGAATTAACAATGAGTTTTTTATTATAAGTAAAGTAAAGTAACAGCCTATACATGTCCCACTGCTGGGCAAAGGCCTCCTCTATAGAGAGGGTATCAGGGCATAGTCCACCACGCGGCCCCACTGCGGATTGGCGGACCTCACATATTTACGAAATACATTTTTTTTTTGTTATTATTTCGAAAATATGCAGGTTTCCTCACGATGTTTTCCTTCACCGCGGAGCACATGATAAGTCAGCACTTAAAGTTAAAAACTTCATTGGTGCCGGCACCGGGGATTGAACTCAGGTTGCTCGAGTATATTGAATTAAAGGCGAGCGCCCGGACACTGAGCTGTCACGGCTTTTTATTATACACCAGAATATTTCGCAGATGGCTGAATTTTTTCCTACTTAGTTGACACATATCATTACCTATATTTTGGACAATTCACACAATATCTTTATATATTATAGTGTATGTGTTATGTTATTCTGTTAGTCCTATGTGTTATTCTGATGTATAAGCTATATTATTGTAAAGTTTCATTAAAATCTATTCAGTAGTTTTTGTGTGAAAGAGTAACAAACATCCTTTCATACATACCAACTTTCGTCTTTATCATATTATAATTAATAAATAATACCTAAATAAAAAAATAAAATATAGTAAGGAAGTAAGTATGTGAAATATTGTCAAGCGAGCAGCCTGATGTTAACTGATTACCACCGTCCATGGACTTCTACAACACCTGAGGACTTGAAGTTGCATTGACAGCACTTAAAATAAGCGCGCCCCGGTTACCTCACTCAAAATGCGAAAGTATATTTTATACTATATATTATATATACTTCACTTCACGCCAATCGTCTAGGAGGCCGTGGTACTTCCCGGACGAGCTGCTCATTTGTGCAACAGCAAAGACTACTGCGTGGCCCTACTGTGGTATAAAGCAATCGAAGCAATGTTTGATCCTAAATAGGTCAAAAGCAAAAACAATAAAAACATTTTGTCTTCTGCTTCTTAAGAAAAAGAAATATTAATGAATTTTACCTACCATAGCCTTTTTTTATTTTTCGTACTAAACCGGTCGTAAAGAGTAGTGTAATCACAACCAATAACAACAGTTATACTTTACCTGAAAATTGAATTTTGTTAATTTTGAAAGTCTCATTTTGCTCGGTATTTACAGCAAAATTAATATCAGAAAATTGTTCTAAATAATATGATTATCTCTATTTTATTATGATTATCTCTAGTGGATCTTTAGAATACTTCCTCGTTAAAATATTTGTGATATTCTTTTGTATAAAATGTATTTGAAGCTTGCTTCTTACTTTTAAACTTTATTTTTGTTTTATTTATTGACACTGATTAGGCTTAATGAATTTCTTATATTTACACGAATACTACACATGGTTAAATAAAAATATTTTACGTAATTTATCGCATTTTATTTTGATTTTAAATATAGTCGATATTTCGAGCCTTTGAAGACTGACAGTCTGTTCTATGATCATGCACGCTGTAAAATGTTTAATATCAAAATCAAGCGTGATAAAGCCCTTAAAATATTTAATTCTACTGATTAAGATTGTTTAAGGTTAGTTAAGCAACAAAATACTACACAAAAAATATTGTAATAAATAAATTTCTCGCAAAAATTATTGTTATACAACTTTTAATTCGCAGGGTTTGAAATGTTCTTAAGAGGTTAAAAGTGGATAACATGTTACATGTATGTACAGATGTTTATTTTTACAGGCTGCTTCGGGACGTATTTTCTTTCGAACTATCATAATATATTAACGAAAACTGTCTTAAAACTCGGCTGTCACCTAAACAGTGGTAACAGCGCGGGCAGAGCGACACGTAATTACATTTGAACATTTAAATACAAAGGCTAATTTAATAAGTGGCCCCGACTTCCAAATGTCAAAGCCGTTCAAATAAAGATAAAAAAAAGAAACGAGCGAGGAATAATATAAAGAAGGATGGCGCTCGGGAGCGAGCAATTGGAACGCCCAGACCGGTGTCATGGGAAATGTGCCTTTTTGTGCGTCAAATAAATTGGAAGCCATTTTTTAAGTGGGACTCTTTTTTGTCGCTGCGCGCTCACCGAGCAGCCTTACAATGGGTGGACAAGAACGGCTGTTAGGTAACATTTTTGACATCATTATAAGTGAAATGGCGTGACTGATGGTGGCCAAGTAACGTACGGAAGGCTCAGCCGCTTCTGGGAAGTCGGACGTCGCGTAGGCGGCCGCGGGCGGTGCTTCCATTGCGCTATCCATTTAATATCGTGATGTTATTAATAGTTCGATATAAGTCTCCGTTTGTGCACCGTAAGCAGTGAGCTCTTAGTTCGGACTGACCTGGCGTTGCGGAGAAAGCCCACTGGACTGAGTTTAATGTATTGTCATAACATTAATTGGATCATTAGTCGAGTGAAAGGTTCATTTGTTCGTTCATTCATTCATTAGAAGTTCATTGCTTCATTTTAATTATATGGATAATTTAAAAAGATTGATTTAAAATACTGTTAATCACAGCCCATTGGGTTCGTATATTAAAAAGCCGAAGAATTATTGTTTGCCGGTTTCAAAATTTTATCCGCACATAGATTTGATAACTGGAGATCGAATTTTGTTAGTATTATGGAGCAAATATCAAATATCTATCTAGTTTTCTTATTAATAATTAAAACATTAACCACCATCCATGGACATTTGCAACACCAATTGCGTTGCCACCTTTATATAAATTGGGCCCCGGCTACCTCACTCACCAGACGAAATGCAGAAATGTACTTCTACTTTACACCGGTCTTCAGTGAGGTCGTGATACTTACTTGGACGAACCCGCCCATTCGTGCTACAGTGAACATTGTTGCGTGGCCCTACCACCGGGACGTAAGTCTCCTCTATCTCTAGAGGAGGCCTATGTTCAGCAGTGGACGCTTACAGGCGGAAATGATGATGATGATTATGACCAAATGACAAAAAAAAAAATGATGACCTGATTGGCGTGGTGGAAAGTGACCTTTTCTCTAGCACACACCCTTTTTCACCGTTTTTCCAATAATTGAACCCGCCACGGGTTTCGAACATACTGTTTTTCGAGTGCCTTGGTGTTTATACGTCTATAACATGTTTTTTAGAAAAGAAAAGTGTGTTTATCAGTTATCTACTCGTAGTAAACTCTGGTGGGGCCACGCAACAGTTCGCTGCTGCACGAATGGGCAGGTCCTTCCGGGGAAATACCACGACCTCAGAGTAGACCGGCGTGAAGAGGAAGTGTTTACACTTATTTTATTTATTTTATTTTATTTTAAAATTTTAGGGAAACTAACAGCTAGCACATGAGTAAAGTATTAGATAATAAATAAAGAAGGCCAATTATAAGTTTCCATAATTAGATAAAAAAATAAAAGTATATAAAAAGGATATAAGCGTACAAAGAAGAATACCGGACGTAGATTTTACAATGACAATTATTATAATATTTACAAAAATATGTTCTCTAGTCATATTTTTTTTTAAAAAAGCGTTGCTAATTAATTTTTTAAACTGATTGACAGAAGTATTATATAAATCAACGTCGTGTTGCTTAGCTACCGCGTTGAAACATCTGCTTGCTCGAATAAAGAACGAATTTTGCCATTTTTTTTAATTCGTTCTAGCCGATGATACATGTAAAACTGCGGGTTTTCGATATGCGGCGGATGGAACTCTTAAGCTTATGTTATCTAATAACTCGGGACAGTCGACCGAACCATTTGCTATGTTAATTAAATAAACAACATCTGCTATACGTCTTCTATCTTCTAGTTGAAGAAAGTGAAAAAATTGGCACCGTTTAGTGGTCTGTAAAAAAAAAATATACTCATTTATTATTTAATTATACGGTCAAAAGGAACCTACCTCATAATTCTATTAAAACGACTGTACTTAAAATAAAGCTGGCCACAGCTAGTGGGGAAAGCAAGAAACTGAACGGCTCTAAATAATATAATTAGATACATTCGAAATTTAATTAACAGAGCGTTCGTTAATTGCTGCGCGTTGGGTCCTTAATAGCCTAATGTCAAGTGACAAGGACTCGACGGGTGGCTGAGGCCGCTACCGGAGGCCGGGGCCCTGACCCCCGCGGAGAATCACTGCCACCCATAAATCCTAGAAGCATTAATGCTGGCTCCACGTAAAAGACAAAACAATGTCATTCCAAAAATTTCCACGTCCCTCCTCAATAAATAATGTCTTGGAAAGCTAAACGTTACTTAATACGTATTTTTTTTATTTTTAACCAAATACTCTTTTTACCATTACACTCCTAAGTTTGAAATAAATTACAGCATTGAATTTGAGATAGAAAGACAGATACACTGGAAATTTTAATTTGTTATATTCCTACATGCCGTTTATGTTTGTGAAAAAATAATATAAAAAAAATAAGCAAAATAATAGAAACTCAAACTCGTTAATCACTACTCAACGTGAATCAACAACTTGTTTGATGTAATTCAAGTTGTAAGAGTAGAATCTAGAATTCATAAGACACGTCAGATCACACCGCGAGTGCGGCAAACATATACTAGGTTCCGCCACGTACCTGGCAGGTTTTCCGCCGTTAATAATAGAAGCGTTGCTGGAGTTTCTTCCGTCAGTTCTTCTCCCAGCGCCAACGCTTTCCGAAGTGGTAGTAATGATAGATCTAAAAACTCTCCCAGTCAGATAATAGCTACCGATCGAGCCAAGGTCCGGCCCTCTCGGGCACCCTCGAATCGGAATGCTAAACGGGTATTGAGTGACCGCCCGAGCCGAGGTTCCCTCGGGAGGCCTCGGGCTTAGTCACCATACCAACAGTGGCTCATCAAGCCCAGTAAATTCGAATGTTTGCCGAATAAATGAAAGCAAATATAACTTTTTGCGAATGTTTTTTTTTTTAAGTTTTGATTGCTCTTTTTCAATAATAACTGTAGGTTCGAATCACTAGAATTGGTTTCCTTATAATAAAGGACTATGGGTAGTAGCCATCACAAATAATAAGGTCCTACATTATTAAATGTTACACATATAGCTCAAATACTTTATTTGATAGGTTACTTATTAATGACATAATAGTTATTAGGATTACAGTCTTCGGATTTGTCAATGCAGACAAATGGTTAACAGTTACCTGTGCCGCCATTCTTCGTCAGACATATTAGTTTTGTCGACATTAACAAGGTGTATTGTGGTAGCATAAATTTGACGCAATTAAATGTTCCGTCCCTAAATATATACACATTTAAATAAAGACATGGCAACCGAGCAAAATCACGCTGGCTGTCAAGAAGCATTTGAATTCCGAATATTCAACCCCAACCAGACGAATATTAACGCTCCTCATACCGTTACAGCACAGACGTCTAAATTGTATGTGTAACTAAAATCCGATGTAACCTAAAGTGCATTCGAGGATTAAAACGTTGTGATATGGCGCAACGACCGACCATCTCGTAAAATGCGATCTCTTCAAGAATGTAATCTGCTTCAATGATACAATTTGTTTCGTATGTAATAAAATATATACCTTTTTATTTAGCTCATCAACAAAAATGCCAAACAACTTAAACAAATATTGTTAGGGAATTTTATATAAAAATGCTTTATTACAAGTATTTAAGGACGACTACCTGAATACGATAATAAATAAAATAATAATGATTTTTATAGTTCACTGTTGGAGCGCAGCTGCATAAACAATAAGGTGCACTTAGTTTTTATATATAAGAAATAAAATGTTTTTCAGTCCATGGCCCATCTGATGTCCTGTCCTGCCTGCCCTTTCACCTGTTCGCAGCAGGATCTGATGGATGCCACAAATTGTGCTGTCGAAATGGCTAAGTTCTGGGCTGGAAAGATATGATTTGTCATCGACACGTAAAGAAGAAGAAAAATGTTTTTCTCGTTTCTAATGTTGATGTAAACAAATGACTTCAAATTATTAGCTCGCTCTACCATTTTTGAGGATTAGACAAATCTAGGATCTGTAGACCAAACTAGGTGGTATGCGTTTGATTCTTAACTCGTTCCTGAGCTAAACCCTAGAAAAAGCCAAACCAACACGGCCTTCTAAGGATTTCTTTTTTTTCTTTCCCTGTCGTGTTAGAAAAATAAAATTTTGGTCGTGATTAAAAATTAAAATTTATATTAAAAAAAATTAATCAATAGTCAATAAGTTATAAAGTTTACATTTCTTTAACGCCAAGTAATTGAAATCTTCAAGTAATTGAAATAAAATTCGATGAAAATCTATAACAGAATTTTATCGCGTCGAAAGTGTTTAAAATGTCGAGATTTTAAAATTGTTGTTCTGTAGTATACAGCGTGTCGTTACCATCGCGACAATAAATGAACACACATATAGGGGATAACTTTTTAAAGTTGTATTAAACATTTAAATTGTTTAAACATCAATATTTACAGTTATTAAATTTTCCAAAACAAAGAATTTTAGAACACTCTTACCTATAAAAGCGTAACGTAAAGTTCATTTGTAAAGGTCACAAAGCATATGAATGGGTTGAATGAATTTAAAAGAGACAAAACATACTGTAAGATGGAGAGGCTTGTAATACGACACTGTGGCGCGAGTTGTATAGCATGATACAAATTTTGTTTCTTTTTTAATTAATTAGTTTGTTTGAAAAATATTTTTTTTTTAATTATGGATTTTGTTTAACGTTAATATTTTTTTATGATTATTGGCAAGTAGCGTTAGACGTGTGTTCATTTATTGTCGCGATGGTAACGACACGCTGTATATACAGGAAGTCCTTACGGTCTAAATTAGAAAAAAAAAACTATATTTACACCTCTGTGTATTTTTTTTAAGATTAAAAATTATTTACCGGATCATGTCTTAAATTGTTATTAACAAAAAGAAAAAATTATTACTTTTGTTTGACACAAGCTTTTCTGTTAAATTTGATTAGTTCTTTTCGTTTTACTGTGAGACATTTGTATTATGCCCCTCAAGTTTATCTTATTTGTACTAAAAGGGGAACAAATATTTATACACATTAATTTAGTCTAGTCTAACTTTTAGTTTTTAGTTTAGTCTTTCGGATCTAAGCTGCAGTTTCTTTTTCGTAAATACTATCTCTGATTTCGTATGAAATACTGACCGTTTTTATAACAAACGTATTTGATGCATAGTTTTTAAACAAATCCGGCATAACCCCTGGTGGAATGACAATGAAGCCGTAGATGAGATTAAATTGAATAAATTATCCTAAATTAACTTTAAAAATTACGAAAGACGTTGAATAAATCTCTAACTTTAATTCAAAAGCATGTGCATTCCCAGAACTACTTAACACATAAATATCCAATGTTGAATTACAATACCTATATTACATTCGCACGTCTCATTAAAAAAAACCAAGCTGAAATTTACAGTCTCTATACTCCGACAAGGATTGAACAGGATTATAACAGGCCGAACAGCAAATAGTGCAACAGTAACTTTATTGCTAGCGTCGTTTTAACGGTTTTTTAAACGGCCCGAAACGACTACACCGCCGCCTAATCTAAAACGCATCAATACACCGTTATCTCCGTCGACGCCTGTAAACCGAGTGTACGACCCATAAAAGAGTCCGCGAAACGCCGTCGCGCGGCCTTAATCGGCGTCGATACCCGCGGAGCGAGGTGGCGAAATTCGACGCGCTGCGCGTAACAGAAGAATAAAACACAATTGTTCTAGACACCAGAACTCGCTTCGATCACCAGTAATAACTGAATAACGTCTACAACAAACTTAAAACAGTTTATCGTCGACAATAATGCGTTTAGGATAATTTCCGAAGCTGAATTTTTTTTTGGTCTATTTATCTATTAACTCTTACTTAATTATTACGTGAAATACACCATTATTGGATTATGTCAAATTAGTTTATATAATTCTTCAGATTCCACAGTTATGCTTTCGCATTACTGTGTAATCTGAAGAATTAACCATATGTGAATGGAATTAACATCATGAATGCAGGAAAGTCATCAGAACAACTTGCTTCGTTTGATATTAATTAATATTGCATAGTTTCTATACAACTAAATTGATATAAATACATACATATTCATGTCCTCAACCCTGAAAGAAATAAAAAATGGTGCACTTCTTTTCTGCTTATTTATTAACCGAAACATGCAGAACATGTTTGTGATCTTTCCAAGGCATTTGACTGTTGAGATCATCTTATTTAATCTTATCCTATTAGGAAATTGAAATATTATGGTAGTCGCAAATCTGCCATTGACATTGTTTCCTCGTATCTCAACGATAGGGAATAAAAGTAATCATAAATGATATTGTATAATATACAAATTGTAATCGGGGTTAAAATAGTGCAAATGGGGGATCGATCCTGGGTCCAATTCTGTTTTTAGTTTATATTAAGAATTTGCTATATATGGTAGAAAAAAGTTTCAAATCTTTGTTTGCTGACAATACTTCACTATTAAGTTAAATGGAAAGATGAGACACTAGATCAGTGATTCTCAACCTTTTTTTTGCTGCACATATATAACGATTTCAAAATTTGGCGGCACACAAAGAAAAAGATATAAATTATTTACTTACTACAACACACTGCATAAATAGTTTATGACAAAAATTTCAAATATACGAAATAAACTAATATATACTACGAATAATATATACACTATAAACTAATATATACGCGAAGAAATACAGACACAGTGTGCGTGTGCAGCAAGTCAGCACATAAGCTCGGGATTCCCCGTGAGATATGTACACAGCGCACGTGTTCCATCACAGTAGCATTTAGTAGAGTGCGATAAAAACAAAAAAAAACTTATTTGGAAAACGGTGTAAAAGCGAAAACGTGTAAAACAAGTACCGTGTAAATCGGGGGATAGGTGTACTGCAAAGTTAATAAGTTTACAAATTTATAAATTGACACTATTAATATTAAAACGAATCACATACATTTGTCAATTTTAACGAAAGAAAAGGTGCAGTAACTACTATGCAACACCTTGTGAATCCCAACTATCACTAAAACAACACGTTTTGTACGCAGAAGTGGCAAGTGTGCGCCGACTTGTGACATATTCCTTTTGCTATGCACGCCGCTTCATCATAATTTGGCACTAAGAAAAAACCCGTTGCAAAGCAAATAATAAAATAATTAATTATTTTGTGGATTTAAATATATATTCATGTTAAAAATATTTTTCTTTTTAAATGATATAATTTAATAATATTAACATTATTATATATTTGCAAAATTTGGCGGCACACTTTTGAAATTTGACGGCACACAAAAGTGCCGCGGCACAGTGGTTGAGAATCACTGCACTAGATCAACTAAATAAAATGCTACATGTGATGCTACTGAAGATGGATTGCAATTAATAATTTACTTTTGAACTCGAATAAAGCTAAATATATCAGATTTAGTCTACCTAAGTTGTCTTACAAGCCAGGAATCTGTATTGATGAGAAAATCCCCCAACAGCTTTTCTTGGAATATGCCTTAACTCCAAGTTGCAATGTTAACCTCATATGGAAAAACTAGCAAAGAAATTGAGCCTGCCGCAACAAACTGGGCAACAGCTAAATTAGTTTATTATGCTTAATTTCACACTTAATGTCTTAAGGTGTTTTCAATGGGGTTCCGTTTCGGGTTAAGACACAATATTCGTATTACAAAAGCGGCCTTGCTTCTTTGCTATACGGGCTGTCTATGGCTTGGGTCCACGTGAGACACCACGGCATCTTTTTAAGGAAAGACACGTTGTAAAACTCTCGTCGCTGTACCTACTCGAGATTGTGATGTATGTAAAGAAAAATATCCATCTTTTAAAAAAAAACGTATTAAATCGCATCGAGGCCGTGGTGACACTCTGGGAGTCATGGGGCTTAATCTGGTTTAAACTAGAAAATCGTTTCCTAGTAGGCATAATTAATATAAATAATTAAATTAGTAAGAACTTTTATAACTAATTAAGTGACATCCACCAGCAACTAAGCGCAAACAATTTCAAACGTTTTGCAAAAGCTACCCTAATTGAAAGACCTAGGCCTATAAATATAAAGGAATAATAGGCCTAAAAATAAAAGATTGAAGAATTCATTGAGGACAAGGATGTGTGGAAATCTAGATCTGCACTGGAAGTCCATTGGCTGCTGCTGATATTATACCTGACAAAATTTGTACACTTATAAAAAAAGAACAGATAAAAGTATTTTGGTAAATTGGTAATTTTTGGGAATATGTAGGGAAGATATGTTCGTCACGGTGCCTTGTCCCTTTAGCTAATTTTGAGGAACGTAACACAATTTAACACGAGGATCTCGTTAATCTTAAAAAAGCGCCTTGAGCTTTTTCCCATGCCTCTATCTAATGTCAATACATTTTCATTAGGAGTGCACAGCGCCTCTCCAATTCGTTTACGCTCCACGCTAGCAGTCCGTATCGAAACTGGGCCTCGGAAAAACTATCCGGCCGCGTCGCAGCCTGTGCCGCCTTCGTATAACGATTAATCGATGCTAATTAATAAACTAATTAACCATGTTAATACGACGCTCGAGCGGCCCCCGGTTTTTCCATACGCGCGTTATGTATTAGTCCGGGCAACATTTTTATTGCGACCGCATTCCCGGTTTTTGTCGCGCGGCCCGGGAATGCCCGTCAGCGTCCGTTTCATATTTCGCGGCGAAATTCGTCCGGGCGCAATAACTCCCGTCCCTCTAATTGCGGCTGGTCGCTCATTCACATCGCGGCGTTCCGGGCGACGGCGCATCGATTATTATTTATGTCATATTTTCGCATTATGTCTCCGTTGTAATTTATTAATGGAGGCGCGTTGTGAATGGGGACGTTTTGTGGCCGACCGTCCGTATGCCCGAGATAAGCGAGTTCAACTTCTGCTTCTTGCGCAACGGCGAGGACGTGGTTTCTTGTGGTTGTAAGAGATTATCCAATCAGGTTCGGTGGGTTTTCATGCATATTTCATTGCATATTCCGTACCTGCATGCGACAATGTGAGCGTGTTGTTAACAAACTAATGACTGCGTTCGTCCGCAAGCTCGGCTGTTTGGTCTAATAATGAATTACCCTAATAGACCAATAAACTCGAGTCGTGTTCGAATTTGAAGTGACCTGGAGAGATAGAGTTCTATTTTGTGTGTTTCACGTTTCATTAATAAATATGCGAAGTTTTATTTTTTAGGCCTTGCATGCACGACAAATTGATTTGTCATCATGACGAATGACTAAATCGCAACCAATACGTATTAAGGGGCAGTTAAATAAACAGTAGGTGTTACAAATTTAAAGTTTTTTATAGTGCTAATCTCTGCACTTAAGATTAAACATTAAAACTTGTAGAGTAGGTGTTACGCCTGACCCCAGGAGAGGATCAGGAGTGGGGACAGAAATCGAGCTGGAAGACATAATCAACGATGAGAAAGTTGTTCCATGTCTCGTCGGAAGCATTGCCTTCTTCGAAGGAGGGCCTTAGAGGCGCGTCCATTGAAGTCGTGCCGCCGCAATATAAATGCGAACAGTCACGTAGTCGCCCCAACTCGGTTCATTTCCCAAAAGCGCTTACATATTTAAACGCACTGTCCACCCGTGCTCCGATCTAGATATAGGAATCGCGTGCCCCTTAAGCACTCGAAAGCTCTCGCTCAACGTTTGTTATCTGTCATCTTTCGCGGTTAAATTTCGCAGTTCTGCTACCATCTAACTGTCCGAGAGACCCGCTAAGCTGCCTTTAAGGTATAATTCCACTCATCTTTTTGTTCGTTTGACACGCGCTGGCAATGTTCGTTTTTTTCCTCTTTTTTGGGAAGGGTGGGAGTAGCAAGCGGTTCGTCTACTGATAAGTGAACATCATTCCTGGACAATCACAACACCAAATGGCAATTTCTCCTCTTTAAGGAAGGTATAATCTTTCAGGTCTCTAGTTCGTCTTGGTCTGCAGATAGAGTTGGCGAAAAGTCATTCCAGAAAGTGCTCGTGCCTGGAAATAATACCTAAAAATGAGCGGTGGAGAGCAACGAATCAAAGTCTCTATGACGGCTAAGGATACAAATAACAAAAATCGCTAATACATACAAAGCGAAAATGTTATTTAAATAATTTTAACTTATCTAGCATACAGGTAATAAATTTCAAAATTAATAATCGTACCAATAAACACATTAATTAAGTCGTGTTAGCTCGGCGAAATATCTCTAGGCGTTTTCGTTGCATGTGATTTCAATGATGTTGTGTTTGACCTTCTATAATTTCTTCCATCGCCAACGCAATGAAAATAATAATTAAACACTGCAAATTGTCATAGTCCTAACATATATATCTTAAAAATACTGTCAAGTGAATGATTCTACTAATTTTGATGTGCCCAAAGCACTAAAATGCAGGCACTAAAATGATATTCCTTGTTATTGTTACCACGACCTGTAAAGGGTCAGAGAATTCATAATTTATTTGCGTCCATCTCATCTATCAACACATGGTTAGTAGTATATATATTATAGTATTAGGATATAAGCCTTCCTTTTTTGTGGATTTTGCTCCTCTTTTGAACTATTCTGCGGTCACGTTGCGAATACGTATATCATAATTGATATAGACAGCTATAAACTTTCCTCATTTATCGACATATGCCGACCGCCTAGCTCAGTGGCTGTCTCATTGTCTTGACGCGAAATCCGGATGGTGTATGTTCGAATCCTGGCAGCTGTGAAAAACAATACGTTAAAAACCTTTGCCTGTTAAAGTGAGTCCATATCGTTATTTTTTCCTTCTTATTTGTACGTGGTTCTCTCGTAACATACTGAAGTTTGCTAATAAAACGGTTGAATTTAAAGATGTGATTGCCGTTCAATGCTTCAAAGCATGGCTACAAAATCACTATCGCCAATATTACAATGATGCAGGCATTTGATGAAACATTCATCCTACAAACTCAACTCCAATATCAATACGCTATACGCGAGAATGGGCCGAGCCAAGAGCGAGCAAATCTCCATTCTCCCCGCCAAGAATTTATATCATGCCGGGCAAACGCAAACGGTGAAGCGTCCGCGCAAACCAACAAACCGTTCACCGGGCATAGGGGGCCAATTTAACAGACTTATTGTCTCCACGCGGCCATAATACAGGGCCCGGGGTGGGGCAAAACGAGCAAGACGCCGCCGCGTCTCCGGCCGATACAAAACAATGGTATTTAATCAACGATGATATATGCCGCATTCGGGAACGTTTTTTAACGATACCGCCGTATTGTTTTGGCGGGGCTTACCGTTGCGACGAGATAAGTCGCCGTTGAGAGTGGCTCAGCTGACAAATTGGAATAAAAGGGATATTTATTCGCATCGTAACCTCCGCCCGGCTCGTCGTGGAACTCTTGGAGTCCGCGGATCTTGCACACATGGCTATATTATGCAGATGGGCTCGAATGCTTCCGCAGCTGTTTCTTATTTTGCTATTCTTGGTTTTTCCCACTCGGCGAATCGCAAGAATTTTACACTTATGTGTTTGTAATTCATAACTTATATGCAGTATTCTGGTGCTTTACACTAGAAAAGTTATGATTATGCGAAAGAAATTCCAGTTTTGCAGAATTAAGAAGTACAGATAAATATTATTCTAATGATTGCTTTTACCGAGTAAATGCCAGTTAGGTAAATAACAACGACTATCATACATTACTGGCTTGACGACAATGTTTATCACTCCTTCTGTTAATTAACATTAACGTTGGATAAGCTTTGTATTAAGCATGCCTTCCAGGGAAGGAGCTGTTTGAAAAATTTTAGTCGAGTCTGGATTTCGATAAAACCGCATGTACAGCCTCGAATAAATGCAAATAAATCCGAAACAATAGTTCACGTTGCTCGTTCCATTCCATTCGACTTCGAATCTAACAAGATCGCCCCGCGCCCGTAGCCGGCCTTCGATCGCGGCGCACTGCGAATACGCCATTTTACAATTTACCGCGTTCACTTTAAGAGACATTAGCCGCGCACCCGCGGAATATGGCCCCCGCGAAAGTTTTGTATAAATCACGATATTTTGTTGAAATAGCGCGCGAGTACGAGCGGCACCGTGTACCTTCGGGTACGTTCGGGGGCGGTCGTAAATTTGTGCGCTCGAACAGCGGGCGGTCGGTATTGGTGCGCGACGGATAGAGCATTACTTTGATTTATCGCAGTCCAACGATGACAACTCGCCGAGCGTCCGTGTCCGAATCAATTGGAGGGACAAGGCTTTCGGCCAGCGGATCCTGGGATGCAGCGAGTGGTGAAGTTTCTAGACGTCGCGATGGTACGCTGTGACGCGTTTCTCATGTCGCAATCAGATGTGATAGTTATAGCATCTAATCCTTATGTTCCTTTGCTGGGACATTCATAACGTTTTTAGCTTGATTTATCGCAAGTCAACGATGACAGTGCGCCGAGCGGCCCCGTTCGAATCAATTGGAGGGACGTGCATCCTGGGATTCAGCGAGTAGCGAAGTTTCTAGACGTCGCGATGGTATGCTGTGACGCGTGTCCTGCGTTGCAACCAGATATTCCTAAAGTAAAGTATTTTACGTACGGATCCATGACTCGTGAGGGTTCGAAATGTCAAGAATTTAAAATAATAATTAAAACATGATAAAATCTGTAAAATAGTTTCATTTATCCAATAAATGTAAATTTTAATTTAGAGAGCACTTTTAATTTAGTAAATTGTTATTAAAAAGGTTATGGTCCGCGTTGCAACCAGATATGCCTAAAGTAAAGTATTTTACGTACGGATACATGACTCGTGAGGGTTTGAAATGTCAGGAATTTAAAATAATAATTAAAACATGATAAAATCTGTAAAATAGTTTCATTTATCCAATTACTGTAAATTTTAATTTAGTGAGCAATTTTAATTTAGTAAATTGTTATTAAAAAGGTTATGGTCCGCGTTGCAACCAGATATTCCTAAAGTAAACTATTTTACGTACGGATCCATGACTCGTGAGGGTTCGAAATGTCAGGAATTTAAAATAATAATTAAAACATGATAAAATCTGTAAAATAGTTTCATTTATCCAATTACTGTAAATTTTAATTTAGTGAGCAATATTAATTTAGTAAATTGTTATTAAAAAGGTTATGGTCCGCGTTGCAACCAGATATTCCTAAAGTAAACTATTTTACGTACGGATCCATGACTCGTGAGGGTTCGAAATGTCAGGAATTTAAAATAATAATTAAAACATGATAAAATCGGAAAATAGTTTCATTTATCCAATAAATGTAAATTTTAATTTAGTGAGCAATTTTAATTCAGTAAATTGTTATTAAAAAGGTTATGATATAAAAAAATGTAAAGATTGTATAAAATTTGATCAAAATTTAATTCCAAAAGAGGTTTTGAAATTCAGAAGTCCAGCTCCTATAGAAATTTCGCCGATGTCCTTTCCACATACTGCGTTGAAGCCTGGTGACATAGACTTTAAATTCTAAATAAAGGCCATTTTATCTGTTCCATCGGACTAGAGATTTTCTGATCTTTCATAAATGTTTTATGTAACATCTGAATCTTAGACTTACCGGTTGATTGATGTTCACCGTCTCTCACGAGACAGGAAAACCAACGTGTAACTAATTCTACATAATATGCTAGCACAACTTTTAGAAGAATACAATAAGCTTTCATATATATTAAAAGCTTCAGGGCTCAAGCTATAGGGTTATTTAAATCATAATTGGCGGCTTTACAATGTACCCCTGCTGGCTATTTACCTTTGCAAACTGTCCTATTACAAGTAGGATTAGATATCCATCTCTCCGCTCTTAGATTGAAATGGCAAACGGGTAGATATGTCCTGATGATATTGGCGTAAACGATATTCAGTAACCGCCACCCAGTTGCCAATCTTTTAAAATCGCTCAACTCTTTCACCAGGCAAAAATGCAAAAGCAGTAATACGAAAATAATTTGTTAAAGAAATAAATAGGCCAAAATCTCATATAGATTAAACTTCACGGGAGATTTCGGGTCGGTTCGAGGTGCTGGTCCTTCAGGTCCGGTCTGTCTCACCTGCTAAAGCTGCCCCAAAATAATTCCGATTGCATTATTATATATTTTTTCAACACAGCCGCAACTGCCGCAACTTAAACCAGCCGGCTTAAGCGTATTAATAAAATCAAGCGATTGAATTGCTAATTATCAGAAATGAGCGTTTCTTCCATGACCCGGCCGTACGTGATATTAAAGCTTAATACGCCTGGTTAAATTCATACCTAAATTTTAATTTCTTTTTACTTATTACATTTACATAGCAATCATTAAGACACTAAGTTACTATGGCACTACAACTGGCTCAAGAGAAGTATATCTAATAGGCAGTCTGATTTGATAATCTGGCACTATCTTAGATAGGAGGAAATCGCTTATGTGATTTTCAGTCATCTGATATGTTCTTGAGTCAACCGATATGTCAATGATGCCTGATAAACTTCCTATTCACTCGGTTAATAGACTTAAATTTTCAAGATACGAGTTTAACTTCCTGGACATTTTCTGATGTGATTTTTGTGGGGGATGCCCATATTCTGCAGCGGTCTAGAACAGGAACAACCGATGACGATGAAATGATGATGTTAATGATTACATTTGAGCCTAAATAGCTCAGTTAATGATGTTATATACAAATATGAGGTAGATATGACACTAGCGCACTGAAACTGAGGCACTCAAATTACACTAATTGGTGTAATTAGATTGCAATTATATAGGCTGTCGTCTCTTTCCGTATCATACGTTCTATATCATCTGTCACATTCACTTACAAATGCCATATAAAGTAAAGAGGAACAATTTTTAAACGCCGCGCAGATTGGAGTTGCGCCATCTACTCGTATAGTATGTGAAGTTCTAAATCCCCGTTGATGTCATGTTGTGAACTATGCCTTAATACCCTCTGAACAAATGAGACCTTTACCCTGCATTGGGACATTTATAAAGACTATCACTTTACTTTCATTACATAAATAACGATGTCCAGTGTTACCACTCGGCTCTGTCGAATTCCCTCTGGCAAGGGTTGCCCTGTCCGCGAATTAATTGCGAATAAAACGAACATAATAGGCATAAAAAGGGGACACGAGATTCGTGGCCGCATAAATCATCGTGCCTCTCAAAACTGGCACTAGCGGTGTGCCCTGCGTCCGATAAGATTCCCGTGCATTCGCAAAAACAATTATGTCGACCCGAAATCTTGTCTTTGAGTCGGTCGCTTTGTTTTCGCTCTAGACGCTGCTCCTGTGGCATTATGCGCGCTGATAAATATTTATGCAATTTATTCATATTCGTTCCGAAACACCGCCGTCGCGATGGTTGACGAAATAGGTTACGACGTAGAGATGGCTGATACTTTAAACATTATACTTTTCCATTTTGAGCTTTATCAAATAGAGTTGTACATATTTCATGCTTAATATCAATATACTGTTTAACATGTTCGAAAAGCAACCGATTATATAATAATCTGATTTTGAAAATAACTGTTTTAAAATATGCAAATTTGTATTATAAATAAATATCAAAAGACAACATATCGAAGTATCAATAAAACATCCAGATAAATCTGAAACCGCCATTTTTATAATCGCGCGGACGAAAGTCCAAATTGAAGGCGTAAAAGTTTGCGCGGCTAAAATAGCCACATCGATGGGGACGTGTGGTGGATCATTGTCAAATCTGGTATCTGGTATCTGGTATCTGTGTCCCGAGCATCGGCCATCACGTCACCATGCAATAAATACGTCCCGTTGACAGGCAAAAAGGCGGGAATGCGCGCGACCCGGCGCGCCCGGCGGTCTCCGCCGCGCATGCGTATTCGTGTCGTGACGCTTTTTCTTTATTCAAAACATAATTCAATATCGATATTTTGACTCGTTAAAATGCGCTACGCCCAGGCGCGGATTTACCGTGGGCTTTATTTGTGACCGCACTGTCTGTTCGTGTACGTATTGTCATACGGTGAGTGCATACTCAGTTTTAAGTCTACTACAATTAACAAAAAAACTCAATTAACATATTCATTACAAAGTAAATTACTCTACTGCTCCCATGGTATACGTAGCTGTGCTCTTTCAAAAAACATTTTCTACATATTTCTGTATCGACTTCGTAACCAGCGCTTGCGCATTTCCAGTGCTCGGGCCACGCAACGGCCTCGGCAGATTTTCATGTAATTTTTTGTAATAATATGTTCTATTGGTATCGAGGTGGCGAATAAGGAAACGGTTCACATGATGGGTAAGTGAGGTCTATCGCATATAGATACCACCACTAGAGCACATCTCTGGTGGTGGTATCCATATGCGATAGACCGATAGACAGACCTTAAAAAAGAGGAACCTTATTAAAAAGAAGTTTTTGAAGATTTTGGGCGGATTTTCTGTCAGGCCGTACTACTCCGGTGTTCCTTTTTCCATCAGAAGCTGTTTAGTCAAACATTTTTATTTTAAGAAATTGACTCCCATGATGGGAATACACACTACAAAACTGAAGGTTTCACAGATATCATATCTGACTAAAAGTAAATGTAGTGGTAGGACTACGCAACAGTCTTTTCTGTTGCATCAATGGGCAGGTTCGTCCGGGAAGTACCACGACTTCACAGAAGACTGGCGTGAAGTAGAAGTTTCGTCGAGGAGTCGAATGAGTGAGGTAGCCAGGGCCCACTTTTTCAAAAGGCGGCAACGCTTTTGCAACCCTACGGGTGTTGTAAATGTCCATGGGCGGCGGTTATCACTTGACATCAGGTGAACCGCCAGCTTGTTTGCCACCTTTTGACATAAAAAAACCCAGAATAAGTATTTGTGGATGAACACAATGTGGTCTATAATTTAATAACATTAAAGATAATATAACTAAAGATTAACAAATGTTAGTATTAAAGCTTAACATAAACTAATAACAGTACCGTTGCATGGATTTTGTTGGTTTAATTTTGTTTTTAGTTTTTCTAACACTTTACTGCATCCCTGTTCATAATAGACGTCAAAATGTTATGTTCAAATAGTTAACCCTGGTTGCTTGTTTGTTTGAAAAAATGTTTTCGTTCTTATTATAAATAAAAATAAAATTCCTTATTATATAACAACAACTTGTTATATAGGTTTTCAGTATTTATTATCACTTATTCCTATCGAGATTAAAAACCAAAGTAGCTGTGATAGCATTTCAGTGTAACAAATAGTTCAGTGATACGGCCAGATGATTGTTGTAGAGCCTGCATAGATGTGGTTTGTGTTAAAATCTCCCAATGGAACATTACCGTATTGTCCGTGTAAAGTAGATTGCCTACAACATTACAGATATGTGATGATAGTATCTGATCTTAATGGCGAATATTCCCAAATGAACCTACAATAAATACCAATACGAAACATATCTATATGTTTACAACAATAAAACTGAACATTTTCATTCGCTATTAGATTAAAATGACGATAATCAACCGATTTCAAGTATTTTCGGGACATGAGTATAGTACTAGAGACTACCGAGAGACTACAGGTTCAACGCCTAAATAAAATGGTCCTTGCATCAAGTTTTTGTGTGCTTGCTATGAAAGAACAGATCATATGTAATTGAGAAAGCATGTAACTGTTTTAATAAATGTCCTTATGCTGGGCAAAGATCTTTTCTGAAAGGGCTTCTTATTCAGGTTGTTCGAGAATACTTAATGAAAAGCGAGCATTCTGAGCAATCACGGCAATGAAGTATAAAGTTATACAGTGGAATAGTAAAAGTAGCCTTTCACTCCGTCAACCGTCGCTATTGGTGATTCGTCTAGGATAATTAAAACTATCGTGTCAACATTGGACTGGCCATTAATAAACATAATCTCCGGCCTCTCGTCGAGGCGAATAAATCCTCGCGATGTGCCAATAGCCCGGTGTCTGTTCGGCGCATTAAGCTCTCACGAGAGGGGCTCGTTTGCGTGTCAGAGTTGGCCCGAGCGCTACATTCCCCCGCGGCGGCGGCGTCGGCATTATCAGATGCGCGGGCGCACGTGACGGCATCCCGCCCCGCCCCCCGTCCCCCCTAACACCTTCTAAGAAAAGGGGACATCGTCTCGGCATCGGGCGCGCGCCTCCACGTTCCGCTGCCACAGCACGCCGGCCAGCAACGCCGCGCCGGCCGCGGAATGGGACGCGCGTGAGCCGTTCCGCGGTTTATCTCGGCCAGATGCCAGCCTCCCCCGACCGGGCGCGGATCGCCCCGCTACGTGACGGACGGCTTAATGGCCCAGCAATCGGTATGCACGCGGGCTGCGGGGCGGCGACGCCTCGCTGCGCTTTGAATAATTTGCGCGGACGGCGGCAGGCGCCGCGTGGCGAATGTCGCGGACGACCCTTGGCGATAGCATCGCCGCGCGCGGACGCCGCCGATCTAGATCGCGGCGGCCGCGCACAAAAGACATGTCCCCGACGGATAAAGTCTTCGCGGGCGACATGCCCGCGCGAGGTATGCCTTTGAAGCACCACCTGATCCTATCCTAGAGACAATGCTCGCCCGTGCACTCCAAGCAGCGCGTCCTTTTTTAACGCACAGCGATTACTGCTCCGCTCTCGCGGTCGTTGTCTTTTTCGCGTCATGAATGGCCTACGGCGATTCATTAGCTGATGCGGTATTGTTTCTCGCCCGACGCGGAATCCGCGTCGGCCTTAACGATGAAAAATGGCCGCCTAATTATATTTCCGAGGGCGGTGCTTTTTCCCGCGCGCGGGCGAGCGCCGCGCAAAAAGCGGCCCGCCGGCCCCGCTTCACGTTGGCTGTCGAAAATCTGTCACAGGCTGTACGACAAGGGAATAAATGAAAGCAATTTGTTTTATCGGAATGCCATTAGGGTGTTTTTATTCGCCGTGAGTTTCGTCACCAGCGGCGTCGGATTCGCCACATGCGGTGGTGGAGGTACGCGCCCCGCGCCATAATGCGCATTCCACGCTTTTTCACCGACAATTAGCAATTAGCGCACAATAATAATTATCGTGATGCGTATTGCCATCTTAATGCTCGTTTGTCTCGCAATTTATGGAACCGATACTCGTGTGAATGTCGCCGATACGATCGCTTAATGCCGTGTAATTATTTCATTTTTATTTTAATAACGCCCCGATGGGCGCGCTCATTCCGCGATCGGAATTAAATCTGAATTGTCTTTCAAAGGTGCGAAGTAAGAAATTACATTGTTTTGGCGTCGAATTGTGCATCGATGAAATGAGTGTTGTGTGAAGTACATACACACATCGTACATGCATTGTCATTTGAATTACAGAAGGTAATTTTATGTAAAATTTACAGGAATTATATGACCGTTTGATTATGCATAGTCAAAATTAAACCCTGCCTTACCTTTCCCTCAGAGCAACGTAGCAGATATCGACGGGGCTCCGTCAATAAAAAAGGAGGTCTCCGATTCTCCCAAATTATAGTGTTTAAGTTATTTTCAATATGGCGCTGAGAATTGTGCGTAAAGTTTTAAAGCCACGATGCCTGTAATAAATGTAACGCTGCCTTCTGGCGTCCATTACTTAGTTCCAACCTTGTTATTAAGACCGATCTTATTTATTTACGGACTTAAGTTTTGGGAAAGTATCGGATTATTTGCGTATCGGCGCATTGAATGTTCAAGTTTCGGATTTTATTGATTTATTGAATGTAAGCATGTCGTAATACTATGTAAAATATTACTATGTATAATTATTAACTCCGTTAAAAGAAGTAGTATGAGTGTGAAAAGAAATTCTTTTAAGTATCTGTAATGTGTCCTAAAATATTTATTATTATATCTTATGAAGTGTATTCTTTTAAGTGTATGTTGGAAAAATAAATTATAAAATTCAGTGTCTCAGACACGGGAGCAACGCTGGACTTTAAATGCAACTAGCAAAAACATTGCGTTTGCAAAGGATGGCTAATCATTTGCTCAACTAATTGCTCAAATTGGCAGGCTCATTTGGGCTTACCAAATTCACTTTACCAAGACATCACAGAAGACCCGCTTGAAGTGGGTGTATTATTGCTTACGTCTGTGTTGTAGTTACTAAACTATTGGCTTGTAGTTGCTAAACTAGCCTGCGGAGGTCATGAGATCGATTCCTACACGGGACAAGTGTTTGTATGACCCGCCTGTAATTGTTCCGGATCTGGGTGTTTGTTCTCAAGAACAGTTATCCTCCATCAACATCCCGCTCTCTGGCACATGTCATATACATCTATTGGAGAGGGGGTCTTTCTACACTGCAATAACCAATACGAGGCTACCACTTTCATCGCCATCGGCTATCGGTTCTACGAGCTTTCCAGTCCATTGTCACTTCAGTTCACCAATCTTCTAGGCTATGTCGGGTAGCTTTGTTATAGGCGTATAGCATACAGTAAATTTGAGTTATTTACGTACGTTCTATATCAAACGCAGAAATCCGCGTCAAAAGTCGTCCGCAACGCAATAAATAACGAACGGAGCTCAAACGTGTCTGACGCAACGCCTAGGCGTCCTGCCCGACGGGCCCTAATAACACATGCGGTCACATAAAATATCGATTCGGAGGAATGTCCGAGCACAGGTGGCTGGGTCCGCCCCACCCTCAGGCGGCAACACTCCTAAAGTGCAATGCTCAATAGAGCGTCATAAATCCCCCGGTTAATACATGTTATTAATCGGGCCTAAGCGTTTGGACTTCTTCGACGCGGACTTCGACGCGGACATATTATTTACGGGCTGAACTGAGTACAGTAACATAAGTGAAGGCTTGGTTTTGTGTTTAATATTTACAATTAAGGTGTCTAATGTGTCAAACATTAGACACGAGCAGTGTTAATAAGTTGAGAATGTGCCGTTTTCCCGGCAACCTCCCGTTGTACAATAGTAGTTTTGAGTTGACGCAGAATGTTTCTTTTCAACGCATTCCTATCAGCCATTTGAAACTGGCGCTTGTTAAAGATTGACTAAGGCGATGATGATAATAATAAAGAAGTCCATCATTTCATAATTTCTCAGAGAACTAGACCTAATCGTTCTCATATCAGTTCTTATTTCTTATACGTTGTTAGAATAATTTTAAGCATTTCACACTTTTATGTTTACACACACCCAATGTAAATCATCCCCCCTGATGGAATGAAAAAAACTTCTAAAATGTTCTTAAACGATCATATGTTTTATAATGATTTATTGTATTTATATGATGAGATGAGACTGTTCTACGAATTTTTAAACTCCAGACGTTACTACACAGTACAGCGGACAGAATGGTTTTACGTCTGTATGTCACAGTTAGTCTGGGAAACCGACAATATAAGTTTATTTTAGTCCGATCTATGCAAAATGTACTTATAGTATCTTTTTCTTGTAATGTTGTAAGCTCGCATTCAGTTTTATAAATTCTAGGGTTCCAAGATGACATATAAAATTCTGAACATTGTCTTTTTTTATGGGAAAAGTTGTCAAACGAGCAGACGGTTCACCTGATGTTAACAGAACACCGCCACCCATGAACATCTGCTACACTTGAGGATTCCAGATGTGTTGACAACCTTTTGGAAGTTGGGCTCCGGCCACCTCACTCACCAGACGAAACGCGAAAGTATTATACTTCCACTTTACGCCGGTCTTCTGTGAGGTCGTGCTACTTCCCCGGACGAGCCTGCCCATTCGTGCAACAGCTGAGGCTGCTGCGTGGCCCTACCACCGTGAAAATTTAAATTACTATTGTATTCGTCTATTTAAATTACGATTGAACTGCACATGGTGTAAAATATCAGAGCGTATGTTCTATCTTGCACTGTTCCTTCGGCATTCTAATTCGAAAATAAAGCCGGACATGACTTCAGATAGCGTAAGCCCCTCAAATCGCGGTACGCGAACATCGGAACCAGAGTGAAACTCCTTCGGCAATCGCGCAGATTTATCTGTTAAACCTACTCGGATTTCTCGGGTCGTTTACGGGCGGCGTAGGGCCGTCCGCGGTCAGATGCATCGGGCACGAAGCGCGGTTTCCCAATAATTTCATACTCGGCGGGGCCCGATGGGGGCGAGATACGCGCGCCATCTCCGCCGTGGGCCACGCGCCTCGCTGCGTACACCCCGCGAATGCAAAACCGCGTCCCCCACATAAGCGGTCTCGGATCTCGTTAACGTTTCGTTGCCGATACTTTATGGGCTCATCGTTTTATTGCTACATCCGCGGCCGCGAAAGACCCGCGTTCAACGTACTCGCTATAATCTTTCGCATAATTTGCATCTTCGATGGCATCCTTCACCGTGGTACGGCCACGCGTGAAACGGCAGGTCCGTCCGGGGAAGTACCACGACCTCACAGAAGACTGGGGTGAAGTGGAAGTGTTATACTTCTGCATTTCGTCTGGTCAGTGAGGTATTTTATTAAAAGGTGGCAACCGCCAGTTCGCTTGCCACCTTTTCACATAAAAAAATCTATCGACATCGCTACTTGTTTCAATGTTTGTAAGCATAAAGCATTTACCATCTTAAGCATGTAATATATGACTCTTTACTGTCTAATATTTGTTCAATAAGCTTTTAATATAACTCAAGTTTCTAAACCGCGCATTTTATTTAAACTAACAAATGCAAATGTAGCGAGTGTTGTTATAAAATTATGAGCAAGACAATACTACTAGCAAAAAGATTAGTTATTCGAAGGTTAATAGTTGTTAGTCGCGATGCTCGATTACTTTACCACTTCACGAGGCCTCTCGTTCAGAAATAGGCCCACAAAAACGGCCACAGCTACGAAGCTGGGCGGGTCCGACGATCGGTTCTGCGATTTGGCGCGAAACGACCGCTCACAGCCTCAAACGCTAACAAGCTTTTTCACTCGCTTAGTTTCTCAATTAGATTCGATTAATTGCATCTATCAGTGTTATACCAGTATTTTATTACTACAATGTTATTACCGGTATGGTTGCTACTGGATTTGAAGCGACTTTGACTGCATGATCAAAAACGTTTGGCCTTTTGCCATTAAAAAAAAAGAGGGAAGATGTTCTATTAACAATTTCGTTATCGAATCTATGTTAAATATTGAATTAATATGCGAAGTAAGGAAAAACAAAAGCTGCTTCTGAAAACAGAATCTCGCAGTCACTCAAGGTAGTAAGTACACGACATTGTCACAACAATTCATAAAAACAATGGCGTGTAATATATTATATCTTAAAACTTTAACAGAGGAATTTTATTTCAAACGACTAAACGTGCTATGAATAGTAGTTTATTCGTTTAAAGAGAAATAAGTAATTTAATCAGAAATCTGTAAAAAAATTAACACCTAGTAGGACGTATTTTGAATCTTACAGTGCCTTGAAGTGCCTTTTCTTATAATTTTAATATGGGTAAAATGTTTAATTATTCTTTTACGCTTATGTTTGAAATAATATTATAAAAGTGCCCGTCTGTATTGCTTAACCAGCCGATAGATTTTAATAACTGTACAGAATGTTAACTCAGTATCAATAAATTATATACTTACAGCACAAGTAATAAGGAACAAGCGATAATGCCAAAAAATATACGAGTAAAGACGTTTACGAAATATTCACTTGCAAGTAACACTGTAATGTTATTAAATGTTTCAATTATTTCAATTACACTATATTTTATTGTACGTAACAAACTTAAAACTTGAATCCATTAAACCTTATAATTTATTAATGCGTTAAAAATTTTGTAAGTCAACGAACCCGACGAAAGAACCATAAAAATTTCGAACTTCTCGCTCCGCAAAGGGTAGTTACCAGGAATTGGTAGTGAGGAAAAAAGCGGTTACATCTGTCACAATTATTAAAACACACCTGCAGTCCACTGCCTCGCATTTACATAAAACGAAATCGCCCCGTGGACGATACACCACGGAATTCTGAATATCCATAAACATAGCTGGCAGCATACCGAGGGCCATACTTAAAAACAAAATTAAAGGGGATAGCCGTACGATAATATGAATTAAAAATAATAAAACAAAAAAATAGGAGTCACGGATCGCCTCGAGTGAGTTTTTTTTTTACTTTTTTCGACCGAAGCCTGCGAACAGACTGGCCGGTATCTCCTGACAATATCTTTGACGAGTTTTTTATGCGGCATTATTTTTAAATGAACAGATTATAAATGGTTGTTTGGCGATTTAACGCCCAATCTAATTAGGCAAATGATATGTGTTTTCGGCCTAAGATCGATTGGCGATTGGCTATGCTCTATTTTTTGATTGATTTCTAATAGGGCGTTACAAGTAGTGCTTTTGTTTTTTTATACCGGACAAATATAGAAAGAGCATTGATGACTTTCAAATTATTCGCTTTAAATATTTATTTTAAATTAGGTACCGACTTGTTATTTTTAGGCTTCCCGTATTGACTCGGGAACTCTTTGTATGTATTTACGCTGCCACAAATAAATTATAAAATTTTTGACACCACTTTAATATTTTGTAATGGATTATTTGCAATTTACTCATCTTATATAAATGTAAAGTGCCAGCCTATACATGCCCCACTGCTGGGCAAAGGCCTCCTCTGTACTGAGGGTATCAGGGCATAGTTCACCACGCGGCCCCACTGCGGATTGGCAGACTTCACAATATATCTTCGAAATATTATTTTTTTTATTATTATTTTTAAAATATGCAGGTTTCCTCACGATGTTGCTCGATCACCGCTGAGCACGTGGTAATTCAGTATTTAAAATTAACAATTTCATTGGTGCCGGCACCGGGATCGAACTCGAGTTGCTCGAGTATATTGAATTAAAGGCGAGCGCCCGGACACTGAGCTATCACGGCTCTTTTTTATGTTATCAATTACTACCTATATGAAAATTGTCCTTTAAATTTTTTAAATAATGTTATAATGCACGTTTTGAAATACGAAAACAATATTAAAGGTAAATGGACTATTTTTGTTCATTAAGTAGTTACAAGCATTTGGATCATTATCGTCATCATTATTATTTCAGCCTGTTCGAGTGCACTGCTGAACGTGTGGCCTTCCGCACAGATCACGAGGTAGAATATTGAGCCGCCTGCATCCATCGATTTCCTGTCACATCGGCACCGGTCGTCATATTATTTTCTTTTCCAATATCCCTTTAATGTTTGAAGAATAAAATTCTCGTAGATGTAATATAGATTTGCATTTTCACTATTTGGGTGGCATAACAAAGAATGGAAAAGGCCACCATTAAATTTGCTTAAATTCATGTCTCTTAACAAGTTATTCCTATTTGAGTCATTTCTAACACATTCCATCAACAGGTTTCTAACACATTCCATCAACAGGTGATGATGGTCTTTAGTTACTCCACATTCCTCACAATTTGGTGAATTAATTTTCTTCATAAGGAAGGCAAATTTGTTTCATGGAATGTGTCCAGATCTGAGTCTAAGAGCTGTACTAGTTTCCTACACAAATGAGTGTTTATGAACCACGGTACCCGACAGGGCTGGCACTGATTTGTTTTGTACTATATACCCTTATCTATAGACCGTTTGTCAAAATATTCATTCCAAAGATCATAGCAAACTTTTTAAATTTAGGCAAAAATTCTGTATAGTCTGGAATAAAATTGGTTTATTTCCATACTTAATTGCAAACTTCGCTAGCTTGTCAGCCTTTTCGTTACCCCTTAAACCAACGTGCGATGGAACCCATTGCAATTTCAGTTAGATACCCTTCAAAGTCAACACTTTACAAATCTTATGTAAAATTCAAGTTTTAATACGAAAATTTCAAACTTTTTTGAATAACTCTGGGAATCTAAACCATTCTCGAATCCACCAGAACACAAAAAATTTCATTAAAATCGGTCCAGCCGTTTAGGAGCAGTTCAGTGACATACACACGTACAGAAGAATTATAAATATAATATAAAGATAAATATAAACAAGAACTTCAATAACTTCTTTCTAATGATTCATAATCACCCAAAGTTGCGCTACACTTAATTTTCAATGGATTGTAAAACCTCTGTGAACTAATGTATTAAATAATATCATCTACAAAGTAATTTTATCTCGTATAAAATATCTCAATATCACTGAAAGCCGTTCTGGTTTTTTCCGTTATTAAGCGTATTAATATTGCAATTTATTTCAATTCCTTACTTAAATTTTAATGAATTCAAAATAATAAAAATTGCTACGAGCAAGTGTGAAAATGATCGAAAGTTTTATTACTTACTAATTAGAATCGAAAGCTGTTAAAATTTTTTTCCGCGTATCCTTGCTACAATTATTGGACATGGCAAACTTTAATTATCAACGCTACCTATCTTGACAGTGTTAATGGACTGTTGCGTTTACGAGTACAGAATAATTGGCTATAATACCTTTATTTATCATAGGAAAAAACTATTGTAAATGTAAGAGGAACAGTTCCGAAATTAAAAGGATAAATTGAGTGTCAAAATCTTGCTGCCGTACAAAAACTGATGTTAGAATCTCCTTATGACTCTAGCTTAAAGTTTTATTTAGATTTGTATTTAAAACTTTGCCGCCTTTTAGACATCTTATTTTTTTTAGGTCGCAAGACTAAATGTCAAAACGATACGGTATTATAATAATTACGGTAATTTACGGTGGTAGGGCCACGCAGCAGCCTCGGCTGTTGCACGAACGGGCAGGCCCGTCCGGGTAAGTACCACGACCTCACAGAAGACCAGCGTAAAGTGGAAGTATGAAAAATACTTTCGCGTTTCGTCTGGTGAGTGAGGTAGCCGGAGCCCAATTTTCAAAAGGTTATCAACGAATCTGTAACCCTCGGCTGTGTCCATGGGCGGCGGTATTCACTTAACATCAGGTGACCCATCTGCTCGTTTGGCAACTTTTCGCATAAAAAAAATGTTTTCATAATTACATATCAATGATCAGATTACCAATGACTACATTATTATTTGTATGTTTTTCTAAAACAATTTTCTTTTGAAGCTTCACGCACAACTTTTCACACACACACAAGATCTTAATGACCATAGAGTTATTTCTCACACATTCGCAATCTCAGTTTCATCCAAGTTGCTGGCAGCTTAAGGCAATTGCATATTTATGAGATTTTCATTTCCCTGTAAACCAATGTTTAATTCTTACACCGATTTCTCCTCGCGGATCTGTTTATGCAGGTACGCTATGACATTTCCACCGACGAAACATAGGCATAATGTATCAGTTGCTAAGCTATTGGAATCGGCACTTGGGGTCGTGGGTTCGATTTCCACAACAGGCACCTATTTGTGTGACCTTTTTTTGGTATTGGGGGAAATCTTCGAAAGATACCATGTCACCTTACATGACAGGGTTATATGGGTTTCTTACCCACTAAAACCCGTACGTACGTTTACGTAACCTTCTATACGTTTGGAGGGGCTCTGGGATCTCCTATGGAACGCAACGGTGTCCCTCTGTACTGCGCGTGAGCACGCCTCGGAGAAGGATAAACCTTCCCCGATTCCCTCGCCCTCTTGCAGCAGAACGAGACCACTTCGCTCTGCTGCCAATCCGTGTCCCCTTTTAGTCGCCTTTTACGACAATTTGTGTGACCCTAAGTTCCGGGTCTGGGTGTTTACTCCCAAGGTGAGGTGATGGCAGGCAGGCGGCTGCTATTAAAAAATCTAGTCAACGCTATTTACAAGATATTTGGCAAGTTGCGCCGGCCGCACCTTAGATGGGATTTTTTATGTGAAAATTTCCCAAGCGAGCAGATGGTTCACCTGATGTTAAGTAATAACCGCCGTCCATGGACATCTGCTACACCCAAGGGTTGCAGGTGCGTTGACAACCTTTTGAAAATTGTGCTCCGGCTACCTCACTCACCAGACGAAACGCGAAAGTATTTGTCATACTTTCACTTTACGCTGGTCTTCTGTGAGGTCGTGGTACTTACCCGGGCGGGCCTGCCCAATCGTGCAACAGCTGAGGCTGCTGCGTGGCCCTGTCACCGTTAATAATAACAGCAGGAGAAAAAAGTTTCGATATAATTTGACATTTACCTTGTAACTTAGTCATGTTTATGTAACCCACCACGTTATCTTATCTGTTAAGCGGTTTATACAAAAATAAACTTCCTTGGTTTATGATGTTCTTCTTCCTTGATATATGATTTATGTTTATCGGTGTTTTAAAGATATAACAAAAACAGTTATTTAAACAACACTCTTTGAATGACAAACAAGATTCTTCGAATTTTAAAAATGAAATCGTCGCGATACGATATAGAGTGAAATACATATTATAAAAAATATATATTTGTTGAAATAGATTGCAGAATAGATGTTTTGCTATGGTCAAAAAAAGTTAAAAGTAAAATAGATAACAGCCTAAAAGTGTCTCACTGCTGGGCTAGGGCCTCCTCAGCACAGAGGATATTAGGGAATCATAGGGGATAGCTCAATGTCCGGGTGCTCGCCTTTAAGTCAATATACTCGAGAAGGTTGCTCGGGTATTCTGACTAAAACTTCGATTTCATTGGCCGATTTATCACGTGCTCAGCAGTGAAGGAAACATCGTGAGGAAACCTGCATATTTTCGAAATAACAACAAAAAATTATATGTGAAGTCCGCCAATACGCAGTGGGGCCACGTCCACCATACTGCGCCCTGAAACCTTCTATACAAAGAGGGCTTTGCTCTGCAGTGGGACATGTATAGGCTGTTATCTTACTTTACTTTTTTTATTTAATCAATTTTTACCTATGTTTTAGATATACACTCACAACGTAAGTCAGACAGTGTCAAATGTATGCCCGTTAATAGTTATAGGTTCCTAATTAATTCAAACAAATAATTTTTTAATATTAATTAGATGCGAACGCCATTCAAATGATTCATTGGCAGCAGTGTCGGCAGTTTCATTAAGGGTTCAAACACCCGGCCGTCAATGGCCGCCACCGGGCGCCGTGTGCGGACTACCGATGAGGCCGTTGGCAACGTGGGAACGGTGGAGTTGCGAATTTCGTGCACCGCGGGCCGCTTGCAAATTGCAATCACGTCGCCGCACGTAAAAATACAACCGAGCCGCGCGTCCCAACGTCTCGTCGGAACCGCCACGCTGCAGCCGAGCCGCGTATTCGGCCGACATCATAATTTAGCAAACGCAAAAACCCGCGTACCGATAAATAAAACTGCGGGCCTTCTTCAACGGGCCGGCGAGCTAACGCGTCCGAGGCGGGAAAACGGATGGAACTCGAGGGCGAAACTTTTAAAAAAGGAAACTGCTCTTGCGACGGCGCGCACGACGCGATTGGCCGGCGGCGCAGGGGCGGGAAGCGGCGGCGCGGCGATTGGCCCGCGCCGCGCCACGGCCCGCGCTCGTCTCGAGACGCCAGCGGATAGATTTTTTTTTTGTTGAACAAAAGCAATTTTCCTATTCTTCTTGTTGGCGCAACGTTACCATGGTCCGTTTTTGCTCGGCTCCGTTTTGTATTGTTTATTGTGTTCGAATGCGCGACAATCCGCTCCCGGTTAATTCTCAGCGATATTAACAACGGCCCCCCGATGTATTGTTCTGTCGCGCGCATGCAAATACGCTAAAAACTGGTGGTTGTTGTGAAAAACGCAAGCGAGGCTGCGACTCGCGTACAGGAAGCCTCGCAACGCCGTAATTCATTGTTAATTAAACTAGATACCAACAGTTCCTAACAACAATTCTCTCGGTTGACAATGAGAAATCACAACAATTTTTTTGCGGTCTTTCAACAATGGTTATTTCGTATTTTTATAATTTATCCTTCATTTTATCTCAACGTATCTCAAAGATTGTTGTTTTCAATCGATAATTTTAATTCTATAACTACAGTTCATTTAGTTCTTTTGACTTCGGTTGATAAAAATAATAGTTATGGTATTGATTAACGGATTTCTCATATTGTTATGATTTTGACAGCTAGGGTTCGTCTTTGTTAATATATAATCAATTCAAGTCCTTACATTTAATTAGGACTATCTTAAAAGTTAACATAGACTGAAATTGAAACCTTATTAAATGTTTTATTATTATTATAGAACATACCTATACAATATCAATTAATAAAATATTTTTTGCTTAAAGTTCGGCATCCAAATTGTTCTGTTCAATATTGGTTTAAATGGAATCATAATTTCATTAAACCCTGCTTTATTGTCGCTGTTATTCTACAGTTAAATTAACATGTGAAACTTTAACGTTGCATGACAATGCTCGAATAAATTTGCTACATTACGGTAAGTAGAGGGGGCTTGGGCATACCTACACGAGCTTGAATATTACAACTACGGTGCAATACGGTTTCTTAGTTTGCGTTTAGAAATGCCGTATTCAAATTAATTTAAATGGGGCCTGCCCACGAAAAACAAAACTGTTCCTGCTTTAATAGCAGCTTAGCTCGTGCCCACTGAAGCTAGTCATCTGGCGATATGATTGTTCTTAAAATATTCATTAGGTGGAATGCGAGTCGTGCGGTCGTCGTGGTGAATAATAAATAACTAGATATTAATCGTCATTTTTAATCTGTAACACCGGGGACGTGCTTGGCATTTTGCTGGCGGTTTGTTGATGATGTTGGTAAATTGGCTTACGATTAAATAACGATGGAAACCTTATAAATGTATCGGCAGACCATGCTGCTTGATGTAGAAACGATTGAGTTTATTTAAAATCATAAAAAGAAAATCTTCAGCGATGAAAAGAGTCTCAATGTTCGATATTTCCCAAGAGGAGTGTCGAACATTGTAATTTTTTTTAATAACAGCAATATTTTTGTTCACGGCGACTCACAAGTAATTGTATTTTTAATCGTCTAAATTTATTGATTTAACGTTATTCAATATTTCAGATGATAATAAATGTAATAACTTAAGCAAATAATTCCCTGCTAATTATCAATATCTGCGGAGTTGATCACCACGGGCCGACCTGGTCAATTAATCTGCGAGGTTGATTACTAATAGTAAATTTGAATGACCATTAAGTAACAACTGATGCTAATGCCGAACGAATCAGCCGTATCTGCGGAGCTGATCGCCACAAGCTGAGCAGGAAATTGCCATAGGAAGCATTGGGGGGGGGGGGGGGGGGCATTAGTAGGCGCGGGCGCGTCCGATGTGGCGCTGTGCGCCGAGATGTTGCCCGATTGGGTCCATTTTTCCTCCAAATTGCCCCCTTTGTTATGCAAAGCGCGCGGACGCCGTGTGCGGTCGGCGCCCGCGACGCGCCCTTATCGCGTCGCTTGCGATGCGAACGGCGTTCCGGACATCTCGTCACGCGCCCCGGACTGTCCTCGCCGGCCCTAGGTCCAGCACAGCCCTCGTTAGGAACCGTGAGACTCTTTAATGGGATAAGCATCAAGCGGCTACCACTACACCCGTTTGCAGCGTTGCAAAATAGTCCTGTGTCTTGGTCACTGTTTGAAATGCTTATCCTTACTAGTATTATAAACGCGAAAGTTTTTACGTATGGATGTTTGTTACTCTTTCACGCAAAAACTACCGAATGGATTTTAATGAAAATTTGCAATAATATAGCTTATACATCAGAATAACAGATAGGATATAATTTATGAAGGTGGGTTTCTTAAAGAAACTTCACGACTTAACCGCAGAACTAATTTTGATGAATTTTGGTATAAAGATAGTTAGTTAGGAGCTTGGAGTAGAAAATGAGTTACTTGAAGTACTAATCCTGCGTAGACAAAGTCGCGGGCACCAGCTAGTTATAAATGCATACTTTCAGCTTCACTATCCACTAGGCAAATCGAATAATGACTCCATCTCAGAAATTACGAGAACATTTCTCTAAAACAGGAGAAAACGCAAACAAATCAATAATCGAACAAATATATTGACACGCACAATTTGGTACGTACAAATGTTTTGAAGTTGATCGTAGTCAGTTTTGTTCTTACATTAATCATTACTAGAGCTCTACAATAGTCCTAGGCTATATGTGCTTAGCATTGCATATATTATATCCAGATACTTAGCTTTATCGATATGGAGTCATTACAGTTTAGCCCCTAACACGAAAACATGTTGAACGAGTGTTGCCAAGTCACCAAAGAGCCATAGCCACTTAATTTCAATTCACAAAAGTTCCACTTGCACTCGTATAATTGTTTTGTTTTGCTCGTTATGATCGATCGTTTTACCTTCTAGAAAGTTATTACATTATAATTGTACGGTTAATTTAAAACAAAAACAAGATCTTGTATCTTCAACCCCGACGGATTACCTTTTTTTATAATTCTACCGTTAAAAATTAAAGGTTAAAGGAGGTAATCGAGGTAGCCCATTTTGTTCACGTTTCACCTTGTTTTAAGTCGAAAACGGGATAAACAGTCAGCTCGCAGCTAGTACGATAACACCAGGATAGTTTTGGGAGCAAGAGTTTTCAAACCCTCAGCCCATCAGTGTAAAATTTATTGTTGCACAACACTAGGATTAAAAGTGAATACTCAACTTTTAAATTTAAATGTGTTATTGCATTATAATGTTCATGTACAAACGAAATTTCACCGAAAAAAATAGTGCATGGTCCGCTAATAGATTTTTCGCTAACGGAAGACATTTTTTATTTTAGATGTCTTTATTAAGTCTAGACATATCTTTTAAACGATGACGTCAAGAGATCACGTTGAGGGATGCTTTTCATGTCAAAAAATTTAAAATGTTATTGAAATTAATAACATTAATAAAAGTAATAACATATTTAAAAATTATTAAAATGTTATCGAAAAACAAAACAGTATATAAGGTATATAACTTTATAGTAAATTGATTTCTATTTAAAAGCTATTCACAATAAATTCCCGAATACAGGTGCAATTAATGTAACACCGCTACCGCTCAGCAAGATGAGGGGACTAATTATTCGTGAGTACACCGTAATCTATGAAATGAGGCCTCATTGATTTTCCCTTCTGTTAATTGCAATAGTCGCCTTCCACGCGACGTTTACGTTTGGATATATAATTTGGGGCCCTTATTCCGATCGCAGTGCGGCCCACAATGCCGTGCCGTTTTACGCGCGGGCCGCAAACGGTAAAGTTTCGCAGTCGATCCTATTTATCGCGTCGGGCCAATGCATCATATTTGTCCAGGGTTCGTCATCAGCGTGCGCGCCGATCGGAATCGCGGTGATAATGAATTGGGCGCATTAAAACACGAGAGAACGGACCATTATGCGCCATTCATTCGGTTCAACGACCCCCATCCCTGACGTCGAGAGTTCCGCAATTTTAACATGTCCGATCCTTATTTCATTCTAATGCTCAACTAACACCGGTAGTGAAATATTATGATAGATTTTTGTTACGTAATATTTTTTATAGCTTTTTCTAAAATAATGTATATCAACCGTGTATTCGTACTTCAATAGATTATAATCAAAATTGTAATATGTTGAATTATAATAGTTTGGCATGATGGAAAACCTAAATGATTTTAAGTAGGTATAATTCAAATATTATTTTGCTGATTTATTTTTGTAGTTCTAGAGTATATATGTACTCTGTTGTGTTTAAGTTCCTACTTATTCTTCCATATACAAAAGATCATATTATTAACAGTATTAAAATTTTATAACGTACCTTACACTTTGTACATAATATATATTACATTACTTTCGTCAATAAATATACTTATCTGCAATGTCTATAAAATTTTAGGACGTTTTAACAAAATCCCAACTTTAAAAAAAAATATTAAATATTTAATTGACATTTCTCATTTAGTTTAAAAACTATTGGAAGATAAATATTAATTATTATAAGTTAACTACGATCTCATTTGCTAATCATCACAACTTTATAAACGACTACTTGCAAATAATCTAATGCAATATGTTGTTCATAAGTGGCTTTCCATCACCAGATGTTTGAGGGTGGAACCAGCCGAGACCACGTGATATTGCGCGCCTCGTAAACCATGTTTTTTCGCCCGAAGCACGCCTTTACACGCTCAAAATGCATTCCGCAGATATAAATTTGAATTAACGCCTTTATTGAAATATGCAGTAACTATCCAAGAATTTTCCTTACGATGTTACGTGAACATAAATACCGAACATCTCTAATCGTGGCAGCCATAATACAGGTTTATAATTTACCTTACATTTAAGCTGCATTGTGCTTCTAAAATTTACATCTTCCTCTATCAGGCTACTTGTGTACTTAAATTTGTTGTAAGAAATTGAAGTAATTTTCCCAAGCGTAAAGTAAACAAATACTTCAAAGTGATTGGTGGGGTTTGTTACCCTCTAATAACGTAAATTGTTAAAGATTTTTACTTAAGATGGGACAACTATCACGACAATGATAGTTGTTCACAATAAAATTGCGGGCGTATATCCCTAATATTAGACAAAATTTGATGATATTTTTTCATACAATCAGAACGTCATTCTGATACTGAATTTTTTGTTTATCGAATATTTCAAGTAGCGTATAAAAACATCAAGAAATTATTATCATATAATAAGTAAGAAATAATAAAAAAATAAGTTAATTTAATAAAAAATAATTTAATTAATAAAACTAATTTCTAAGTTTTTAAAACTTGTTGAAGTGTCATCTGCAAACAACACTGTGTGTGTGTATACTGTTTATTCCATACTAAGCCTATAATGAGCCGAGAATCGGGCCCTTGCGGAACGCCTTGTGAAACCGTCAACCCAGAAGAACTAACACCATTTATTAAGAATTTTCGAATTCTATTAAACGTTAAAATTTGTAGAAAAAGTACGAAAAGATTGCCGCCGCTGTGGGAATCGAACCAACGTCTTCGGCATTCGCGGCCTGACACTTTAGCCATTAAGCTAAGGGGCTGATTGCCTCGACGAAAATCTTAACGTCCTTTATCTATGTGGTTTTTAATAATGCGCCAAGCATTGCTTCAAATCCTTTCGTTTTGCAAATCTTTTCATACCTACCCTTTTTTTACAAATTTTAATGTTTAATTTAATTTAAAATTTTAATTTTTTTACATGAACATGAGATAGGTACCGAGGTCAAGCGCGGTACTTTTGATTCTTATAAAGTTGTAACAATCCATGGAAAATCCTTGATTTCATATACCTGCAGAATATGAAATGCAGATCTCTACGAATAAAAAAAAGTAATTTTAAGTACTTAAATAACAACGAATTTGCTGTTTTTTATGAGAGAAGGTGGCAAGCGAGCTGGCTTTTCTCCTGATGTACTCGTAAATAACATTGGCAACACCCGTAGGTTTGCGAAGCGTTGCCACATTTTGCCGACTCAAAATCAGCGCTGCACTTCTGCGGCTTATGCTGAGTCGGTCCCTTCCGCCACCACACATTCTATTTGTTAATATTATTATAATTACTGTTATAACACACTTTTTTTTGTAATATTTTTCTCTTTCTTTATGTAAACATTTCTTTTCTCTCTGTGTTTTTATTTTTATAATTTTTAGTCTTTAAGTTTTGTACCATTATTTTAAGGTGACGGAATAAAGGTCTTTATTAAGTTGGGCTCCGGTTAACTCACTCACCAAAAGAAAAGTAGGAATATAATACTTTCACATCACATCGGTCTTCTATGAGGTCGTGGTACTTCCCCGGGCGGACCTGCCCATTCGTGCAACAGCTGATACTGCTGGGTGGCAACAGCTACCACTACTTACCACAGTTTGTAAAGCATATTTGTTTGTAGCTTTGACGTAAACTTTAATTATGGAATGTATTATAACGTAGAAGCCTTCAAGTGGCAGACATTGGCATTTAATTCTTATTGTGCCTTTTTAATTTGCAAAGTTGACAAATGATGAGCTTGCATGCTTGCGTGGGCTGCTTGATTGTATGTCGGCCACAAATTGCAGACTGTGTTACCCGAAAAGTCATGGTCATTTATTCACCGGGTTTTTTCTAGGTTCTAGCCACTCGGACTTTTGATTGAAAGTGGCTGCAGACCACCCTCTGTTAGTTCCTGATATTAAGTGAATACCCTGGACTTTCACAAGACCTGTGGGGTTGCAATGGCACCACTTAGCAAGATATACTGATTTTTAAGGGATGATTACCGAAAAAACGATTCACCTGATTGCAATTTAGACCCATGAATACTCATAAAAAAGGCGTGCTTACCGCCACTAAGAATGGATCTTCTGCTACCTATGTTACTGGATGAAACACAAAAGTATAAATACTGTTGATTCATTCTTTACGCCTTATGTCAGCTGGCCTCTTTTGGCAATTTAACAACAGAAGCCGTTACTTAGTTCTATAACAGCAATAATCATCTATAAATCAACCAGCTCATTACTATAATCGATTTTGACGTAGTATAGTGCAACAGTCAATTCTTTGTAAATGATTCGCGTAGTGAT